TGTTTCGTCCTATAAAGCATTGTATTAGGACGTGTAGATACTTTAGGCGTCCTATAAACCTAATTTTGCTGTAGTGAAATACTATAAATATTAGTATTTCTTTCCACCAAAGTAAAACATCAAATGAGGGAGTCTTTGTATTGATAGATTCGTCAACTAAGTATCTATTAACATCATTTATATTATCTGACATATCCATCTACTGTTACTGCAAAAATGATTCCAATAATTTTTTTCTATAAAATTTTTTACCATCGTTATATGGTGGTGAATGACTTTTGGTAACCTATATATATATATATATATATATATATATATATATATATAGGGTTGGGTTCACGTGAGACCAAGAGTTTTTCGTAAGACCCGTGAGACCAATTTCATTGATCAACTTTATAAACTAATGATCTAATGGTTTAAAGTTGCACGGTGACAATTTTATAATTATTGAGAACTCTCGTGACAAATTTTGTGATTAAGAATGTTGAGATTATAGATCTAATCCAAGAGATGAGAATTGGTCTTACGGGTTTCACGAAAAAGCATTGGTCTCATATGATCCCAAGTCTCTCTCTCTCTCTCTATATATATATATATATATATAGAGAGAGAGAGAGAGAGGAGTGATCAAATGAAAACCGCCTTCATTTGTGTAAACTTTGCAAACCACATTCATCCGTCGATTTCATTGTTTAATCTTATGAAATTTTTTCATGAAATTGTTTAATCTTGTGAAATTGTTTCATATAATACTTTTTTTGATGAATTTGTTTCATATATGGTTGTGAAATTGTTTCATATAATACTTAATGAAACTGTTTCATGTATTTCTCTAAAATTAATGAAACTGTTTCATCTATTTTTTTAAAATTAAAATAATGAAGATGATAATATCTATGATTAACACCATCCACAATAAAAATGATTAACCAACCTCTCATAATTACAAAAAAATAAACAAAATGAAAAATTATGATTGGTTGAATGAAGTTTGCACGGTTTGTACAAATTGAGTGGTTTGCATTTGATCGCTCCCCTATATATATATATATATATATGTGTGTGTGTGTGTGTGTGTGTGTGTGTGTGTGGAGGTTCAAACGAGAACCCTGTGACTTACGAGAACGCGAGAACAACCCAATAACCTCAATTTTTTTTCATTAATAAATTAACTTATATTAAATATAAATAAATTAATAAGGGTAGTAATGTAATTAAGTAATTTTTATTATTATTATTTTATTTTAATTAATTATAATTATCCTTTTTTTTCTACACGTTCATTTCCCCTATCTTCTCTTCCCTTGTGATAATCTTTTCTCTTCCCTTGTGATAATTGTGTGATTGTGTAACCATAACCTATCGAAACCATAATCAATCGAGTGTAACCATAACCTATCGAAACCATGAGTAACTGTTATGATAAATGTGTGATTGTTTAATCCTAACATATTGAAACCATCTAAAATCGTTGTGATAAATGTGTGATTATCTAACCCTAACCAATCAAAACCATGATCAAATCGAGTGCGTTGTTATGATAGTGATATCACATGATTATCACACTCATATCACACCAAATCGTTTAGTGGATTTCGCCCGTAATCGTTGTGATAAATGTGTGATTGTCTATTCCTAAACTATCGAAACCATCCAAAATCGTTATGATAAATGTGTGATTGTCTAACTCTAACAGATCAAAACCATGATCAAATCGAGTGCGTTGTATGATAGTGATATCACATGAGTAATTGTTGTGATAAATGTGTGATTGTCTAACCCTAACCGATCAAAATCATGATCAAATCGAGTGTGTTGTTATGATAGTGATATCACATGATTATCACACTCATATTACACCAAATCGTTTAGTGGATTTCGCCCGTAATCGTTGTGATAAATGTGTGATTGTCTAATCCTAACCTATCGAAACAATCTGAAATCATTGTGATAAATGTGTGATTGTCTAACCCTAACCGATCGAAACCATGATCAAATCGAGTGCGTTGTTATGATAATGATATCACATGATTATCACACCCATATCACATGATTATCACACCTAGTCTAATCCTAACCTATCGAAACCATCCGAAAATCGTTGTGATACTGTCTAACATGACCCATTGAAACCATGATCAAGTCGAGTGACATTGATATCACATGATTATCACAACTAATCGATTAAAAACATGTTTAAAACTAGTAATTGTAAAAGATACATTGAATAAACTTTTTCTTGTTGTTCGATTGTTGCATGTAATAGCTTCTCTTTGATCGATTAGGGTTCGTGTGTTCTTGGTCGATCACAGTCGATCACTGTTGTTTTGTGATTTGATGTTACGACTTCTAAGTCTCCTTGAATTCTTAACCGTTTATTAGATAATAATAATCATCATCGTGTTAAAAGATTTGATGATATCATTTCTATTATTACCCTTTTAATTTTAATATTTTTTGAATCTTTTTAAATTTCAATTTTAATTTTAAAAATCTTTTAATTTTCCTTTTTATCACAATATGAGGTTATTGGGTTGTTCTCACGTTTTCGTAAATCACAAAGGTTCTCGTTTGAACCCTTCCCTATATATATATATATATATATACATACATCATACACACACAAATACAAATCAAATACAAACCATGATCATATTACAAACCAATCACTCAAGATACTTATAGAAATAATGAAAGTTCATTTATTATGATTTGAATATTTGTGGAACATGATTAAAGTTAATTAATTATGATCAACACTTTATATTAAAGTTAATTAATTATGATCAACACTTTATATTAAAGTTAATTAATTATGATCAACACTTTATATTAGGAAACAATTGATATATTTATGAAACCAGATATTCGTTAGATTATATGGGCATGTTGGGATTGACATGTATGGTTTGTAACCTTTTCATTTTTTGTATTTTATTTGTCTTATATATAATAGACTACTATTTTATATACAGATATAAATAATTTTTTTTATCGAAGTTATATATATATATATATAGGGACTGGTTCAAATACTAACCCAATATTTTGTGCAAACTATGCTAACCCATCTTAATCGTTCATTTTCTAATCTAACGGTTATTATTAAATGAGATTAAATAAACAATAATTTAATTAATATATTAATTAATATGTGTATGAACAATTGTTCAAAGGATAAATTGGTCAAAAATTTGTATTAATTAATATGTGTATGAACAATCGTTCATCTTCGTGCCTATATCAAGGTATGAACATTCATGTGAACCCTATGGTGTGGACATCAAGGTATGAACATTCATGTGAACCCTATGGTGTGAACCCTAGATATATGAACATTAGCTACACCATGTGAACCCTAGATATATGAACATTAGCTACACCGTGTGAACCTAATGAACACTATAATCGATATATGTTGGTCATATGATCATGTTCTTCAACCTTGATGCATGCTCGTAGCGATATACATGGACGACGATGAGACATGCACATTAACAAAAACAGGGGTTGTGCAGATAAAACCGATACCTGTACTTTATATCTGTTCGTGCATGATGTTCGCTGTAGGTGGTTTCATATGTGAATTAGTTGTCAATAAGATGAACATATTTGAATCTTCATGTCATTATTAGATGAAGATCAATTTGAGATATTGTAGGATTTGTAACTCCCAATTAAAATATTTGGGAGTTACATAAGAATGACTAATGACCTAAATACCCTTATCATTAATATGTAAGTTACATTTTAACCAAACCCAAAGATGCAACATTATTGGTTGATGTGGGTTAGCAAAGTTTGCACAAAATATTGGGTTAGTATTTGAACCACCCTATATATATATATATATATATATATATATATATATTAGCGGCGGATTGGATTGAGTTGAGATAAGCTAACCCAATTTCAACCCTCTTAATTAACGGTTTAACGAGTTGGTTTTAATTGAGTTATTAGCAGGTTGAACAATTTAACGGTTTTCTGTATACCTTTAAAAACATGAAAAAAATAGAATTCTTTAAAACTTTATTTGAGGAGAAATAAATGATGTTTTTATTAACTCCCATCAATAATATTAAATTATTATTATTTTATATAAAATTATTAAAATGATAAAATTAAAGAATATTTTAATAATTTAATTAATATTGAAATCTTTATAATAAATAATTTATCGAAGTGATGTATAATTTCTTAAAATTTTTAACTTTGATAAATGTTTTGTTGAAAATACTTTCATCCCGAATCTTCCTCTCTGTCGCAATCATGATCTTCTTTCTATAGTTATTTGCATGTCTCCCGACTCAAATCTTTCGATGGTAATACATCTGTTAGAGCACACTTAGCAGCTTAATCATCATCCATTAAACCTGCTTTTCTAACACACGCCACTCTATACAAAACGCTTCGTATAATTTTTACAGGGCTTAATCGATAAGTACCTCTTATCTATTTACATTCAAATTTTTGATGAACCCTTGTTATTTTCTTGTGCAAAATCTTCTTTGAAACGATTTTATATCAAATCCCAAGAGATTAAATCCCCAAAATGACAACTTCCTCCCGACTATTCATCCACAAACCACAAACCACTTTGGGCAATTTTGGTATTTCACAATCGACTACAACATTTTATTCACTTTTTTAGAGTGTTTGCCTCAACTTAGCATTGGGGCAGATCTTCACTTCCTTTCAACACCGAATCTAAAGGCTTTATGTGGCAATCAATCCCTTCAAGCTATTTTTTCTTTTCCATAGACCTAGAAACATCACTTTCTCTCTATCTATCGATTCTCTCTCTCTATATCTATATCTATATATACATCTATATATACATCTATGTTAAAACCAAGTAAATTGATCGATCTTGTTTATAATTTCCCAAATTTCGTAAATTTACATATAAAAATAGAACGTTTTAACATCTAATTGCTAATGGGTTTTCGTTGTTATATGTCATGATATATATAACATATATTTATATCGATTCCCTTTTCTGTATTAAGAAATTCCTAGAAGAGTTACTTATATTTTTCAAGAAAAATGAAAACCCTCAAAGTTACTGTGCTTAGTCTTTCTTTCTTTTTTTCTTACGGCAAGCAGTTGAAAACAAAACCCTAAAAAGGGTTCTCTATGAGAACCAATTCGCCGCCTGATTAACCTCTTTCTTTACCTTTCTTGATACATATAACTCGAACAAACCCTCATCACTATCATCACTCTTGTTTCGCCTCATCTTTCTTGCCAACCCCCCTTTTCTTTTTCTGTTATACTCGCTGTTCTTGCAATCTAATGTGAAAAACAGTGAAAATTAGTTGCCAAAATTACGAAATTTTCGTGTCCGGTTTGTATGTTGTTTGATTATTGGGTTTGTTTGTTGTTTGATGATCGAGTATCGTTCGTATAGGTTATAAAAGATTGAGCATGTTTTTGGGGTTTTCTTGATCAAAAGTTTTGATCTTTTACGGTTCTCAAGAACTGATTCTGAGGTGTTTAGATCATAGTGAAGCATAAAGAGTTTAAATTTGTTTTAGGGTTTTAGGGTTTGTCTGTTTTTGTTGTGTGAAGCGATCAAAGATTGGATTTTTATGAGCTAAACCTACAAATTTCTTCGTGTTTTCATCTGGGTAATGATTGTTTAGATTATAATTCGTCTTTTCTTTATCTGGGTATTTTTCTTAATAGTTTTATAGGTTTAATTGGGGAATGAGCAGATAGTTTCATCTGTGGATATGTTGTCTGAATTGGGTAGGAGACCGATGATCCGCCGAGCCGCTGGAGGTGGCGGGAATGATGGTTCATTTGGGGACGAATTGGAGAAAGAGATCGGGTTATTGCTTCATGAACAAAAGCGGGAGGCCGATGATCACGAAAAGGAGCTAAATATGTATAGAAGTGGCTCAGCTCCACCTACTGTAGAGGGTTCTTTGAGTGCAGTTGGTGGTTTATTTGCTAATAACAATGGGAGTAGTAATAATTTAGCATTTTCAGAGATCGCTGGCGGCAATGGGTTTACGTCTGAAGAAGAACTTAGGGCTGATCCTGCTTATTTGTCTTACTATTACTCAAATGTCAATCTAAACCCTAGGTTGCCGCCACCATTGTTGTCGAAAGAAGATTGGCGGTTTACCCAAAGATTGCAGGGCGGTGGTGGGGTGGGTTTAGGCGGGATTGGAGATAGGAGGAAAGCCAACTGGGCTGATGGTGGCGGTGGCGGAGGCGGTGGTGGGGCTGGTGGAGGAGGAGGTGGTGTGTCTCTTTTTTCTATGCCGCCTGGTTTTAACTCAAAGAAACAAGAGGCTGAGAGTTCTGAGGGGGAGAAGCTTAAGGTTTCAGCTGAATGGGGTGGCGATGGATTAATCGGTCTGCCTGGTTTAGGGCTAGGCAGCAAACAGAAGAGCCTCGCCGAGATTTTTCAGGTAATTTTAGGCTTTTTTTTGCTTCAATTTCTACGTATTTTATAGAACTCCAACTTGAATTTTATATCGTGTGGTTGAAATTGAAAAACATTGTTTAATGTCATTAGATTATGATCAAGTTGTTATTAGTTCTGTAGTTATAAATGTGTGATGCAAGTTTTCAAGATTTAGTCGATCAACATAAATGCAATAGGTGGCTCAGTTGCTCATAATGTCGATATTGTGGTCTATTTGGCTACTGATAAACTAGCTGTTGGCTGATAAGCTAGTGGCTAATAATCTAACTGTTAGCTGAATAGCTAGCGACTAATAAGCTAGCTGTTTGCTGAAATGCTAACGACTAATAAGCTAGTGTTTCAGCTAATAAGCTAGCCGTTAGCTGAAAAGCTGGCGGCTAATAAGCTAGCTGTTAGCAGAAAAGCTAGCGGCTAATAAGCTAACCTTTAGCTGATAAACTAGTTATGTTTGGTAAAAACTAACTGATAAGCAAATTGATACTGTAAACTAGTTATCCAATCAACAATCATTCCCATTGTTAGGATCACAAACACATGTAATAGCAAATTGCAAGAATGTTGATCATAAATTTGCCGACATCCATCGCCCTTTGCTAGGACTTCATTGATCTCCCGTGGTTTCTGTACGAAAACAAAGCAATTGGTTTCCTCTTATAATAGGAATCAAGATGGATAGAAAAACCGTTTTTCTAAATAAATATAGTGCAAAATAGGCTTCATATGCATACCCCGTTTGCCATTATTAGCAAGTGATGGCATATAAAAAGTACTCCTTTCGTTCAAAGACAAATGTCTACTCTTTTGGGGTAGAGGTCAGGTCTGCATACATCTTGCTCTCCCCAGATCCTACCTCCGGGTGGGATATTTTGGGTTTTTAATTTATTTAATATTCTTTCTTTTCGTGCTTGTTTGACCGTATGTTTGTCTTTATTCCTTCCACCTGTTTGTACACACTCTTGCACAAGTCGGAGTCCTTATGGAATCAATCAGCCGCTCTACTCTTTTGGGGTAGAGGTCAGGTCTGCGGACATCTTACCCTTACTAGACCCTACCTTTGGGTTCGGGTGAGATATACTGGTTTGGTTTGGTTTGTATTTTTGCTATGATGGTGAATGAGGTGGACTGAGCGTGTAGCATTTGCAGGATGATTTGAGCCGTTCGACTCCAGTTTCCGGACATCCGTCTAGACCAGCTAGCCGTAACGCTTTCGAAAACAATGATGACACCCTAGGTCCCGCCGAGGCTATGCTAAAGAGTTCCTCGGCAGCCCAACACAGCAATGGCCTGCCGACATCATACTCTTATGCCGCCGCTTTGGCTGCTTCTTTATCAAGAAGTGGAACTCCCGACCCCCAACACATTGCCAGGGTTCCTAGTCCGGTTCCCACTCCTATTGGTGGCGGGAGAGTCAACTCTATGGAGAAGAGGAATCTAAACGGTCCAAATCTCTTTAATGGCGGCTCTTCTCACTCGAAAGAGTCGGCGGATCTCGTGACGGCATTGTCCGGCATGAACTTGTCGAATGAAGTCATGGGGGAAGGCAAGAATCCGACTCATTTTGATCAAAATACGGATTATAATGATGGTTATTTATCTAATGTGTCAAATAGCCATTCGGGTGCTTCTAATAACTTATATGTTGATGGATCATCTAATAACTTTTATGGTGGCTGGGATCCATCTTATTCGAACTATGGCACAAGCGGGTACTCCATGAATTCACCACAAATGATGTCCAGTCAAGGAGGCAGTTTGAATCTGCCGCCACTTTTTGAGAATGCCGCTGCTGCCGCCATGGGTTTCCCTGGAATGGAATCAAGATTTGCATTGGAATCACAAAGCCTGAGCCGGATGGGGAGCCAGATGTCTGGAAATGCACCTTTCGTTGACCCGATGTATCTTCAGTACCTCAGAACCACCGAATATGCAGCGGCAGCCGCCCAGATAGCGGCGCTCAATGATCCAACTGCCGATAGGAACAGTTATCTGGGAAATTCGTACACGGATTTGCTTCAGAAAGCGTATCTTGGATCTTTATCTTCACCACAGAAATCACAATATGGTGGTCAATTCGGTGGAAAGTCCGCTAGTCCAAACCACCATGGTTATTATGGGAATCCTGGTTTTGGAATGGGATTATCGTATCCTGGAAGCCCATTGGTTAGCCCGGTTCCTAACTCCCCTCGTGGGCCGGGAAGCCCGATAAGGCTCGGTGAAGTCAATGCACGATTCTCCCCTCAAATGAGAAACTTAGGTGGTGGTGCTGGTGGTGTTATGGGGCCTTGGCATCTAGAGGGCGGCGATAACAGCTTTGCATCTTCTTTGCTTGAAGAGTTTAAGAGCAATAAAACCAAGTCCTTCGAGCTTTCGGAAATCACGGGCCACGTTGTAGAGTTCAGGTAACGATCCCCGTACTTTTTCTTGTTGAAATGTTACACATCACCAAGAATTTTACACTTGAATTGATCTTATTTTCGATGATCAGTGCGGATCAGTATGGGAGCCGTTTCATTCAACAGAAACTCGAAACCGCCACTACCGAAGAAAAAAACATGGTTTTCCAAGAAATCTTTCCTCAAGCTCTTACCCTGATGACTGATGTCTTCGGGAATTACGTGATTCAGAAGGTATTTTATCGTGAAGATCATTTTCGTTTTCATTTCGAGGGTCCGATAAGACCTTTAAATGGAGTCGAAAGTCCCATTTTTTGATTGATTGCTGTAATTCCAGTTCTTTGAGCATGGAATGCCAACCCAAAGAAGAGAGTTGGCTGGAAAGCTTTTAGGCCATGTGTTGACACTCAGCCTTCAAATGTACGGCTGCCGTGTAATCCAAAAGGTAAAAACATCGTTTTGAATCGGTTACTTTTAAAAATATTGTCGTAAATCGGTAAAAGGTTGTTATTCTTCATGGCGTCTTCTAAAGTTTGAGTTTTCAGGCAATTGAAGTGGTTGATTTGGACCAAAAGATCAAAATGGTTGAAGAGCTCGATGGTCATATCATGAGATGCGTACGCGATCAGAATGGGAACCACGTTATTCAGAAGTGTATCGAATGTGTTCCTGAAGAACATATTCAGTTTATCATTACGACTTTCTTTGATCAAGTCGTGACACTTTCTACTCATCCATATGGATGTCGGGTTATCCAGGTTGATAGTTTGTTCTTTCAATTTCCGTCTTAGGATATGGTAATTGGCTGATAAGCTAGCTGTTGGCTGATAAGCTAGCTGTTGGCTGATAGGCTAGCTGTTGAGTTGGCCGATAATCCAGTTGTTGATGTTTGAAAAACTGGCTCATAAGCTAGATGTTTGCTGATAAGCTGAAAAGCTACATGTTGTATTGGTCGATAAGCTAGATATTGGCTAATAGGCTGAAAAGCTAGATGTTGTGTTGGCCGATAAGCTAGATGTTGGCTTGTGTTGGCCGATAAGCTAGATGTTGGCTAATAAGCTGAAGAGCTAGACGTTGTGTTGGCCAATAGGCTAGCCGTCTGCTGATAGCTGAAAAAGCTAGATGTTGTGTTGGCCGATAAACTAGCCGTTGGCTGATAAGCTAGCATTTAGCTTTCTTTGGTAAAAACTAGCTGAAAAGCTAGTTGTTGGCTAATAAGCTAGCTTTTAGTCTTGTTGGTAAACACTAGCTGATAAGCTAGATGACAAATTGAGAACGACCTAAAAGGATGTGTTGAATAATTAATTGGAAAAGTATAAGGTGCATATGCGGAAAAAGTGAAAAATGCCCCTCAATAACCAAACGGGCTTTTTTCAATAAGCTGAAAAATAAGCTAGCTTATGGTTGCCAAACATGACCTTACCGTTCCAAGAAAATAACGGAAATTATAATGGGTCATTTTATCTTGTTGCAGAGGGTACTCGAGCACTGTGAGGATCAAGAAACGCAAACTAAGGTGATGAACGAGATTCTAGCTTGTGTAAGCATGCTTGCACAAGATCAGTACGGAAATTATGTCGTACAGGTATGGATTACAAAATAGTTTGTATTTGATTTCAATGATGTTTATCATATAAATTTGTCTTCTTGAATACTCTTCGCGGTAGAGGTCGGATCTCAGTACATCATACCTCTGGACCCCACTTTCGGGTGGGATATCGGACTTGTTTGTTTCTGTTTGGTTTTAAAGTGGTCTTCTTGAAACAGCATGTATTGGAACACGGAAAGCCGAATGAGCGTTCTATAATAATCCACGAGTTAGCCGGAAAGATTGTTCAGATGAGTCAACAGAAGTTTGCATCCAATGTTGTTGAGAAATGTTTGACTTTTGGCGATGCAAGTGAACGCCAACTCCTTGTGAACGAGATGCTTGGTACCACTGATGAAAATGAGCCCCTTCAGGTTGGTAACTCTCCAAAAAACGAACCATATGCAATGAATATCTCAAACCCGTCAAAACCTTGTTGCCATTGATTATCGAGTACAAGACGAGTGGGCTCGTCTAGAAACTTGATACTCGTTTGACCTTTGGTAGCTTTACAAGCCTAAATGAGCTGAATCCACTAAGCCTACATACAAACCACAAAGCAATTTTTATTATTTTGATCATTGGCCTTAGCCCGTTGAGGACTTCATAGTCAATACAACAAAACCAACTTTATAGACATTAAATATGTCTAAATGTACTAATAGACTGCTTTATGAGACTTCTGTTTATAGGACCAAACAATTGTGCGTCTTGTGTAAAGATGTCGTGTCAGTCATAGATGCCGTGTCTTTGGAAAATTCTGTTTCAAATGGGTCGTTTTGATGATATATTTGTTACTCAGGCGATGATGAAAGATCAATTTGCGAATTATGTTGTGCAAAAAGTACTGGAAACTTGCAGTGATCAAGAACGCGAGCACATACTGTCGAGAATCAAAGTTCATCTGAATGCACTCAAGAAATACACCTACGGAAAACACATAGTTGCTCGTGTAGAGAAACTTGTTGCTGCTGGGGGTACGTATTATTCACTTCAATCTCTATCTCTGCCTCTGTATAACGTGAAAGACTCGAATTTTTACGGTCTTCATATGTTGCTTGACTTTCAAAAAGTCATACGTTGACCAATCCAATCGAATGTGAAAGACTCGTACTTTTTCGGTCTTCACAAGAAATACCTAGGGGTAGAGGTATCATACCCTCCCCTGACCTACCTTCGGGTGGGATATATTGAATAAGTTTGATTTTGGGTTTGTTTGCTAGCGGCTTAATGAGCTTCATGAGACCTGCAGCTTATTCGGTCAGTTGTACATGATTGTTTAGTAATGGCTTAATGATATAGAAAATGACTTGTTCAGTAAGCTTCTTTTTTTCTGGGGGGAGCTTTTTGCAGAAAGCCAAGTTTTTTATAAGCATTCCCCTCCTAATTGAAACACACTTCTTGTGTCTATTAAAAAACCCTCCAAGACAAAAACTTTTCCAATCTATACAAACAGATTAATCCACAAAGATGGCTCTATCCATACATAATTTAATGAAAAACCAACCAAACAGCCCTTTTATCTTATCTATCTACCCTTAGCGGCAGAGGTATGGTCCACCTACATCTTACCCTTCCTAGACCCTACCTCCGAGTGAGATATATTGGATACGTTGGTTTTGGTTTTATCTGAACTTTTTGAGCGAAATGTTTCATATTTCTTGACGGATATGTGGGTATCGGGTAAAAAAGGTGGTTGTTCGGCTGATATTTTGTTGTATTTTTTGTTGACGATTGTAGAAAGGAGAGTTGCTGCCCAGTCGTCGTTATCACACGCTGGTTAGGAGGCGTAGGAAGAGTTGTACAGCTAACCGATGCTAGTTTGAGCTACCCCTTTCTCTCAAAACGGTCAGTGCCAAATGAAATTTACTTGTACTAGAAGAAGAAACAAACTGTAAATGCTGTAGTAGTTTTTAAGATTTATACGTAGTCGAGTCGAGTCGAGGCTTGGTTGTTTCAGCAAACGACACGGGTTTTCTTTGAGAGGGTGTAAAAACGACACTAGTTTTGTTATGTTATTACGACATGTGACTGTACAAAAACGTTGCTCGTTGTTGATGTTTGTAGGCAGAGTCGGATTGTCGTTCTTATGTATTTAAACAACTTTCTTATGCAAAAATGTCTCTTTGAATCTTTCGTGCCTGTTGATCTACAGCGATCTATGCGTTCTGGTTCTTTCATTTCTTGTATATCGTATGTGCATTCGTTGTATGTTCTTTTTGCATTCTGGGCATGTTCGTTGTTGCTAGTAGTCGACTATTTGCACTCGGTCTTGTCTTACAGAACGACGTTTGGTGTCATTACGCACTTGTAAAGCCACATTTGGGAACCATAAGCTAGTTTGGTTTTTTAAGTTTATTGAAAAATCACGTGCCTTTGCAATTTGCATGCCATTGAGATCGAAACTCATTATTGGTTAAAAAAATCCGGCCTTTTTGGCGGATTTACGTCCGAAAACACGTTGGATACGCGTTACGTGCACCAAAACTTGCAAAAAGAACCCAAATCCTACGGGTTGATGTGATTTAACAGAATACATTTGTGTTCTAAGACTCGAATCCGCAGCTTAGGATGAACAAGAATTATAATTTGTTTTATGTCGAAAATTTTCTACAATCTACAAATCATCATAATTATCGTCGTTGATCTTCTGTCCGAATCCTTTCGGCCCGGCTCGTGATCTGACCCTCTTCTTCTTCCCACCTCTCTTTGCTTTCTCTGCTTCTTCTTTCTCAAACTTATCTTTCTCCCTTTTCTGCAAATAATCTGTTACAGCTATGTAGACAACCTGAAAACACACACACACACACACACATCAACCCACATTTCAAATCATTTAAAAAGATGCACAAATTGGTTCAATTGAAAACTTAAGTTCAGTTGTGAACCGGGGAACAAAGAACAAGGCGTCACATGACTTATACATTCACGGGTTATTCATTATGAATGAGGTATTCATTCATATGAATGATTCATATATTATTCATGATGAATATGGACAATCAAGGACACTTGTCAACCTCTCATTTGCCCTCTCTTGCCGGTTCATAACCGAAAAAAGGTTTTTGCAATTGGACTTTTCTCTTCACCTCAAAATCATACTAAATTTGTTGTAGAAACTTGAAAGAATGATGTACAATTGGATGAACATTTACAACCATCAGAAACTGTACAGTGTTGACTTTTTGAAGTCAAATATGTGAAGTTGGAAACTCAAGGTTGATGCTAGTTTTGCTATAGATTTGACCCACCTTTTCTCCTTGTAATGCTTCATTACGAAATGTGTTGGGGATGTGAAGTTTCTGAAAATCTTGTAAGAAATGAGATTGAATTTTGAAAACGAAAATTAGTCAGTTTGACTTCAAAGTTAGACCAATCTTTTTCTTGGCTGAAAGCTTCAGCATTGTGATAACAATGGCGTTTTGAGCATGAATTTTGTAACCGAAAATCAGCCCTTTTGAACTCAAGCGAGACCCACCATTTTTATTGGATGAAAAGTTCACAATTGCGATAGAAGTTAATCCAACGAGGGTTTACAGTACCTTACCCCAATTGTGAGAACCGATAAGCCAACAAAAGCAATGAAAAGAAGAACTGAAATGACGACGGAGACTCCATCACCGTTATCGGCGGCGACGGCGGCCACAATCTTATCGGAATTCTCAGCCGGGCTTGCTTCTGAAAGCAGAAAAATCCCATTTGGGGTGGCGGAAACTGGGCGGTTTCCGGTGGTGCGTGGAAGAATTATACGGTGGCGGATGAAATTGGTTGTGGGTGGTGAAAGAATCGAAAGGGAAGATCGATTTGGGGATTTGATGGCATGATATTTGAAACTTTCAGGTGCTGGGAATGGTGGAAGAGATATAGTTGCAATGGTTACCACCATTGTTGAATCTGAAGCTTCTCTGCACCACACGAATAAAGTTTTGAAGGGGGTAACGTCGGCCCCAACTGGTGAATCATGGGTCGGGTTTGAGCCAATGGGTTCCACAATAGGATCCGTTGTTCAAATTGCAAAATTGGGTTTCGACCCAAAAAACCAAATGAGTGAACCCCAGACGGAATCAAATGAGACTCGATATATTTAAGTTAAAAAAGTTTGATTTTCCGGTGAGAATGAGAGTTAAGGTGAGATTCGTAATCTTAAATACATATTAGGATGCATCGAGATGTACCATATCAATTCCCGTATCAAATACGATTCATGGTTGGGTTTGGAATTAAAGGTGATCAAGGGTGCAGATCTCTTTTTACGTTTCTCAACTTAACTCTATTTTTCACGCAATACTTCACCTTTTTAGTTAAATTCTTGGTTTTGTATTTTAAAAAAAATAGTTTTTGGTTCTATATTTGTTCAAAAATTGATATCAATTCGGTTTAATACTTAAATCAAATTGGAATTTTTGCTTTTCAAATTGGAACTGACATAAGTTTTAGGGGCCGTTTACCAAACACTTATTCGGTAAGCGCTTACTGGTAAATTCAACACTATCATTTAATTACCGGATAAGTTTCTAGTCCACCAAAACGGTATCGTATGCAACAATTTACCTGGTAAACGTTTACCATGGTAAGAGTCATCGTCTTCACTTACCGGGTAAGACTCTTGGTCCTTGTCTCGCTCTTATCGGGTAAGATTATGATCCTTACCATATTTATCCGGTAAAGTAAAATAACTTGGTGTTCATTTACCCGAGTAAGCGTTTGGTAAACAGCCTCTTAGATGTGTATTCTTTAAATAATAAAGAGTGAATTACATTTTTGATCCCTTGTTTATGGCTGTTTTTTGATGGGACGATGCATGGGAGATTCACACAATTTGTGGAGGTTACAGTTACGCGCACTTGTATGGTCTGGAGAGGCTTACTTATCTTATAGTTTAGCGGCTCTCTCGCTGAGACATAAATCTATCTGGATAGATTTCTCGAGATATTTTCTTTGTGGGTTTTTAGCATCCTATTTTTTGTTTCATAGCATTTGATGAGCAAAATGCATCGATATTAAAATCTGTCGTTTATGTTATATTTTACTGATAACAAGTCGAATAGAAATATTCAAAAAGTTGGTTATGAAAACCGCTTTCATATTTTGATTCAATTTTTAATTTGTGTAATATATTTTTAAAACCTTAATTTTTGATATATCAGATGTGATATATCAAATGTTTATATACTTAATTTACTTCTGAAAAATATAAGATATTTTTATCTGATTGTTATTTTATGCAACGTCCTTTGATACAGACATTTAAAATATCACATGAGGTTTTAAAAATATATAAAAAAAAGAAATTTATTAAAATAGTCATTTTTCAGGGTTGGTTTCGTATCATAGTCATTTTCTCTCCAAGTTTACCAAAATATCCACAGGTCCGTAAAACCCACGTCCGTAATTGCGGACCCAGCTAAAAATAAAAAAACTTACACTTTCTATCCCTATCCGCAAAAAAATTACATTTCTCACTCAGATCCGTAATTCTTTTACATTTTTTACCCAGGTCCGCAAAGAAAAGTTAAAATTGCGGACCTACAACTATTTTAATAAACCTTATAAAGAAATGACTAAAAGATGAAATCAACAGATAAAATGACTATTTTAATTAATTTTCAGAAAAAATTGTACAACCTCCTGAAAGCCAGAGTCCTCAAACATCAAAAGTAAATCCAAACGTATTTTATTGAGTAAATTACATAGCCACAACGACCATCTTGTAATTTAAAAACTGTAGAAACAAAAAATGATTTCCAACAAACCGTAGGGACCAAATTTGTAGTCTACTCTAATTTATAAGTAACGTTCAGGTTTCGATAAATAATTTTGATACATAAATCCTTATGTCGAGGTCAGCTCAATTGACAATAAGATTTGAGCCTTTGATCTTCTGAAGATTTTTCAGGTTGTTTTCTTGGTAGATTAGTTGAGATGTACGCAAGCTGATCCAAATTCCCAGACACCGATGGTTACATAACAATAAAAACCTATTCAAATTAAACGAACCCAGTAAATCACACATTAAAGTAGGGTTTGGGAAGGATAATGCATAAGCAATCTTTTCCTCGGAGAAGTTGTTTCTGTAGAGACTCGACTTGTGAAAGCCCAAAACAACAGACTAACGCTAACCAGTAACTTCTAAATCAACTTAAAATCATCGTAGAAGTGATTAGTAGCCCACAACTTGCCTTGTGAGAAACAGATTCTGCTTTTCATCAATGTAAGACAAGTTGTCACATGTTTAATCCCTCTGGGACGAAGTTCTCTTGTTCTTTAAGAAAAAAATAATGCCGATATAGTCTTCTGGGTAACAGGCCGGGTATTAGATTTTGTTACGATTACATGATGTTTAGACTTGATCGTACTGTAGAATATGTACGGACATCTGTAAAAGCCATACAAGTAGTTAGCAAGAAGAGAGTGACACGATATATACAATTTACTTGATGCAACTCCAAGTGTAAATAATATGACTCGAATGTCATGCATTAATATAGTTATTGACTTGTAACAGATTGAAAAAACCAAATCAGATAAAACTAATTCAGTATATCTCATTCAGAGGTGGTAGAAGATATAAGTAGACTTAACTCCTACTATTCTACTCAAAATCGAAATAACATAGATTTACGGACAAAAAATGTCGAGTACAATGGTTCAAGAAATCCACAAGGATTTTGGCGTATTGGTTGAGTCCAGAGGTATGTTGTAGGACTTAACTCCTTTGAAGGTTCATCCAAAGAAGTTGGAAATGTGAGGAGAAAACTACAAGAGTGGTGTCTGATTGGTTTGAGCTTGACTCCAAAAATCAAAAGTATCAAGAGGTTTCATGTTCAAATCAAAAGGAGGAATAAACATTCCCTTGTGGTTATGGAAGTTCAAATGCGGTGACTCCGGGCTATCTGCAAAACAGGTGGTCGTCCTATAATTAGTCGGCTCACATAACAAGTTGGATATCTAGATTAATAAAAAAAATTGTAAAAGAGAAATTCAAATGATCCCATCAGTATTCTACATTATGTCATTATGGCCTGGCTTAATTTTATAATCTATGAGAGTGTAACTACACTCTTCATCACTCCATACTCTCTTATGAACAACAATAACCCCCAAAGGATATATATAATATAAAAGCTTTACTTTATAAATCACGTTATTTTTAAATCATATTATTTTACAAATCGTATAAACCTCATTCAAACCAATCATAATATTTCATTTTGTTCATTTTTTTGTTATTATAAGAGGTTGGTTAATCATTTTTATTGTAGATGGTGTTAATCATTGATATTATCATCTTCATTATATTAATTTTAGAGAAATACATGAAACAATTTCATTAAAATTTTATAAGTACTATATGAAACAATTTCATAACTGTATAAGAAATAATTTCATAACTGTATATGAAACAACTTTATCAGAAAAATGTATTATATGAAACTATTTTATAAGATTAAACAATTTTATGAAATTTTTTTCATAGGATTAAATAATGATTTTTTTTTATTAATTTTAAAATTACAATTCATGCTCTTATAGTTTATCAATTTGTTTTACATCCCCTGTTTTTTCATTTTTCGTTTTATATCTTTATCCCATTAACATACATAATCGTATATTAACTAACATACGTTAAAAATACGTTCTAATTTTAACAAGTTACACCATTATAATCGTCTCGTCAATACCTTCGAAATGAGCCAAATATTGAATATTTTGTTATTTAATTATATTATTATATCATATATATATATATATATATATATATATATATATATACTATGAAATAATATTCTTAATACTCATACTTTATACTCTTATAGTTAATTATGTAATTTATGATCTGTCTCTTTGTTTTTTCATTTTTCGTTTTACATTCTTATCATCTTGACATACATATTCGTACATTAACTAAAATACGTTTTTATTTTAACAAGTTACATCATTATAAATCGTCTCGTCAATATCTTCGAAATAAACTCAATACTGAATATTTTTTGATTTAGTTATATTATTATATGATATATATATATTAAAAAATAGAATATTTTTAACACTTAAACTTTATACCATTATATTTATTTAATTTTTTAATACATCCCTTGTTTTTTTGTTTTTCGTTTTACACTCTTATCATATTAACATACATAATTATATATTAATAAAAAATATGTTTTTATTTTAACAAGTTATATCATTATAATCGTCTCGTCAATACCTTCAAAATAAGTCCAATTAACATTTTTCGATGTAATTATATTATTAAATATTATAATGACATAAATTATTTTTTAATACTTACACTTTTTAAGGTGGAGAAGAGAATTCCCTTTTCTGTTAGGGCATCTCCAATGGATGACACTCTACCAGAGTGTCATGGACTGCCACATCAGCATTCCACTCACCATA